AGAACAGGGAGGTTGGAGTGGAAAGCTGAAGTGGAAAGGCAGACACTCCAGATATTTTTTAACTTTGATTATTCCAGCTGACAAGACACACCACACCCCAACCTGTATTGAGTGTGAGTTGCTTCCTTCTCCAAGCCTCGGTTTCCTTATCTGTAATATGGGGACAATGTTTATACCTACCTCCCTGGGGCTGTTGTGACAACAAGATGAAGTCAGGTAGATGAAAATTGTATGTCACTGTAATGTCCAATGCCTTTTTTTTTTTTTTTTTTTTTATGAGACAGAGTCTCACTCTGTTACCCAGGCTGGAGTACAGTGGTGCGATCTTGGCTCACTACAACCCCTGCCTTCCAGGTTCAAGCAATTCTCCTGCCTCAGTAGGAGTAGCTGGGACTGAAGGCATGCCTCACCACTCCTAGCTAATTTTTGTATTTTTAGTAGAGACAGTGTTTCTCCACGTTGGCCAGGCTGGCCGCAAACTCCTGATTGCAGGTGGATCCACCTGTCTCAGCCTCACAAAGTGCTGGAATTACAGAATGAGCCATCTCACCCGCCTCCAGTGCACTTTTTATTGCAGTCTGCGAAGGAATAGCGTATGGAGTCAAACTGACCTAGGTTGGAGTTCAGCGCTATATTCCTTGGCATCATGGCTTTGGGTAAATGTCCCTTCTCTGAGCCTCAGTATCTGCATGTGTTCAGTGGGGCTATTAATAGTATCTCAACTCACAGGCTCGTTTTAGAAATTAAATAAGGATTAAATTATATAAGTGCCTGTCATACAGTAGATACTCAGCAAATGTTCAGCCCCAAACACAGACACACACACACACACACACACACACACACACACACACAACACTTAAAACAACCTGGCTAACAAAGGGGTTTTCAGTCTGCAGGAGAAAACAGGCAGCTAATGAGCTCTCTCTCCAGTTTCCCTTCTAAGAGAGGAACTCACTGGCCAGAGCCCAGGCTGGTCACCGATGTAGAGGGCAGGCAGCCAACTGCAAGCCTTCCACATGGAGTTTCAAAAAAAGTGTGAGCACAGAGTTGCGTAACCTGTCCCTGAGACACGTGTCTGTACTGAAGTGTCTTCATCAAATATTCCCCAAAAGGAAACATGTGAGCAGGGCAGTAGGGCAGCCTGGGGGAGGAGGAAGGGAGAGTGGGAGGGATCTAGAGAACACGAGAGCAGGGGTGAGAAGAGGAAGAGAAGGAACCACGTTTAATATGCTCCTACTATGGGCCAGCCACCAGGCTTGTTCTGTCTGATATATTGTTAGATCCTTGCCATAAATCTGAGACCAGGCATTTCCGTTCCCACATTCCAAAGGAAGAAATAATAACAATAATATGAACATTGCTGGTGTTGACGTAGTGCCTACTGCGTCTCAGGCAGTGGACTAAGTACGCATTGGACCCTCAGGACAGCACATAACATGGGTACTATTCTGAACCCCATTTTATAGAAGAGGAAACCAACCTGAGGCTCAGAGACATGGAGTAACTTTCCCAAGGTCACCCAGCAGGACAGCAAGGCAGCAGGAGAGCCAGGATTCGAATCTAATCAAGGATCTCAAGCCTATGGACCTATGGGAGAACATTTCCCAAGGGATTTATGGGGGTGGATCCAGAGAGTGACCTTAGCAATTGTCCTCACATGCCCATAGTGGGGCCCCAGTGTGAGAGTGACGAAAGAGACCAAGTGACCAGAAGCAATCCCTTTCCCTCCACCCAGAGGACAGTTTGTCCCAGCTTGTGGCTGTTCGTCACTCTGCCTCTGACCTAAAGTTTAACATTTCATTCATAAGTTTGGAACCACAGACTTGGCAGCGTAGGAAGCACCCTCGGAGACCAGCTATTCCAGTCTAACCCCCTCATATTACAGACAGAAAAAAACCCTGAAGCTGGAAGAATGTGACACGCCAAGGTCACAGAGCAGCTTTCTGTTAGATGAAGGGGCTGATTTAGGGTCAACTACCGATCATCTTGTGCTGTAGTTACCATAGGTGGGTGCACCTCAGAATCACTGGGGGAGCTCTTTAAATACACAGATTTCCACACTCTGCTTCCGGAGATTTAGACTTAGATCTGCAAACAAGGACTGGAAATCTGAATATCCAACATGTTCCTCAGGTGATTCAGAAGGCACAGGGCCATCACAGCATATGCAAGTCAGAGTCCAATATCCCTCTTTCATTTGATAGTTTGGGATACTGGGACCCACCAGGGGACTTGCCCAAGGTCACATAGCAAGCCAGTGGGGCTGTAGTTCAGACTCTGTGGTCAGAAGTAGACTGCTTGTAGTCACATTTCAAAATGGACCAAGTAAGCTAAACAAGGGGGTTGCCATGATTTTCCCCAGCCCTTGGTTTCCTTCTTGGATCCAAATTAAGACACAGGATGGTATACATTCCCAAAGCTTGGCAAGGTGGGAATCCGAGAACTGAACTCGCAAAAGGAAAAGGAAAGGGTAGGAGTCGTTAGCTTACACACCCAGTGGGGTTTTCCCAGAGGTGAGCTCCGGACTCCAGGGATGACATCAGACATTCCAGCCAGCGTTAATGTCGAAAGCTACCTGTGTTTTTCATTTCAGCAGAATGGGTAGGGAGGGCCTTCCCCATTGGGAGGAGATGGGGTAGAGTGGGCCCAGCTGTGACATGAAGGAAGCAGACTCCAGGAAGAGCCACGCATTCCAGCACCTGTAAGGAAGACAGCTGCCCTGGGTACTGTCAACTCCTGCAACCCTTTTCCTAAGCCTTTCCTCCCACTTCTCCCAAATCCCTCACCCCAGGGCTAACTGAGCAGAGAGATTCACTGCTTCTTTTCCACTTCCTGCTATTTCACCACCTGACTATCTTACTGTCTCTCTTCCTTCATTTCCTTCTCCCTCCCTCCCTTCCTCCCTTCTTGTCTTTTCTTTCATTATAAAATGGCATCATGGCTGGACACAGTGGCTTATGCCTGTAATCTTAACATTCTTGGGAGGCCAAAGTGGGAGGACTGCTTGAGCCCAGCGTTCAAGATCAGCCTGGGAAACATAGGGAGACCCCCATCTCTACAAAAAACTAAAATGAAATGAAAAACAAAAAAGCCAGGTGTGGGCTAGGTGTGGTGACTCATGCCTGTAATCCCGGCACTTTGGGAGGCTGAGGCAGGAGGATCACTTGAGGTCAGGAGTTCAGCCCAGCCTGGCAAACATGGTGAAACCCTGCCTCTACTAAAAATACAAAACTTAGCTGGGCATGGTGGCACATGCCTGTAATCCCAGCTACTTAGGAGGCTGAGGCATGAGATCCACTTGAACCCGGGAGGCGGAGGTTGCAGTGAGCCAAGATCGCAACATAGAAAGACTCCATTTCAGAAAAAGTCAGGTGTGGTGGCACATGCCTGTGGTCCCAGCTATTCGGGAGGCCAAGGCTTGAGCCTGGGAGTTTGACAGTGCAGTGAGCCGTGATTGCACCACTGCACACCAGGATGGGTGACGGAGTGATACCCTGTTTCAAAGAACCAGACTAAACCAAAACAAAACAAAACAAAAATGCATCTTGATGTTTGGAGTCAGATATCCTGAATTTGAATCTCAGCTCTGCTCCCTGTGAGCTCTCTGACCTAGAGAGTCACACTACCTCCCCCCGCCCAGCCTAGTTTCCTCACCTATAAAAAGGGGGATAATAGCTATATTTTCAGATTGTGAGGATTAAACAAGATCATGTAGACACTTAAGAAACATGTTTTCTCAGAAACACTAGATCATGTGCATAATCAGTGAACTAGAGGAATTTGAATACATATTTGTTGAACTGAATAGAGGTGCCTAAAAGAATGATTGAGCTGGAAAGCACCTAAGAAATCTTTGGGCCTTAATGACTCCCAAACTGGAGTCCAAGAGAATTGTTCAGGGTATTTCCAAATGATAAGGACAATCGCACACTCTCAATAAAGTCTCAAGTTTCTTTACTTTTGTCTGGAATTGTATCAGCTCAAGGTGATAAAGTGACTATCACAAGCTCTTCAGAAATTCTGATTGGTGGTTACGAGGCTCTTTGATAATTTTTTTTTAATGAAAAATTACTGGAAGGTAGATTAAATGGTGGAAAACATTAATCATGTCCAACTTCTCATTTCATAAACAGGGAAGCTGAGGTTTAAAGAAGGAAGTGGCTTGCTGGTCACACCGGGTGGCATAGCTGGCTCTAAAACACAAGATTCTTTTCCTAGAACCAGTTACTTCCCTTCTTTCCACTCTAGAGAGGGGGAACCCAGGAAGTTGAGGGCTTTTGGTCCGCTGGAGTAGGAATAACTGAGTCATCGATTTGCTGTTGCTTTCTCTGTTCTTGACTCATTCAGCAAATATTTACTGACTGTCCACTCTTCGGATTTGGAAAATAAATAAAATAGTCATGGCAGTAGAGAGGGTCAGGATTTACCCTCAGGTGCGACTTCACAACCTGTGCTTTTTTCCACTGGACACCCACATTTTAAAACACCCACTACTCTGCCTTCTGATATAGTTCCACTGTGTCTCAGCGCAGGGACTGTCTTATATGTGCATGTTCTAGCCTTCCTGCCACCCATTAGTGCGAAATCAATGTTGTGAGTGTTGGGGAAACACCTGCATTTTCATCCTGACTTTGCCACTAACTGTGTCTTTGAGCCAGTATGTTGTTTTCCTTCTCTGGCCATTAGCTTAACTATCTGTATAGTGGGAATAGTGGCAAACTCCTATGTGGAGGAGCTTGCAGGTTCATGTCAAGTTATCAGACTCTAGGGGAAAACATTGAGAATCTAGTCTGAAAATGGAGACATCGTTTATCACCTCGTTAATTCCCAAACATCGTCACCGCGTCCTAAGCCACTCCACTTCCCTCTCCCCTAGTCGCCTTCCTTTAAAAACAAATTTCCCTGCAGAGGGCGCGCAAGCTCTGCGGCTTTCGTTTCTCATTTCCGTTCGTCTTCACTCTTCTTTCTGCGCATGTGCTCCGTTCGCTATTTGGCTGCCGGTACCAAGACCCCGCGGTGCAGGCTAAGGTTGAACCCACTACGCCTGCGCAACTTTAGCCCCGCCCCCTCCGCTGTTTTCCCCGGAAACGCTTCTTTCCTACGCAGCCGCTCCCGCCGCTGCGGTTGCTGGCGTTTTGCCTCTCTAGGCCGGCAGCGCCTCTCCTCCATGGTCCTGTCTGTCAGCGCTGTTTTGGTAGCCCACCGGTGAGGCCGGGCCATACTCGGAGACTTCGATCGTTGTCTGTCATTGGTGAGTAGACCCCAGAGGAGCTCGTGTACGGGCGGGGGCCGCGCAGCCGGAATGGGCTGGATTTCCCCTCATTCTGAGAATGGTTCTGTCCATCCCGCCTTCCCCCCAAGTCTTGGAATGGGCTCACCCCTCGGTCCCAGTCCCTCCTCCCGGGCGGGGCGGCGTTGCCATGGCGACGGACCGCCGGCTGAGGCCCGGCTCCTGTCCCTGCAGGGGATGGCGGGCCAGTTCCGCAGCTACGTGTGGGACCCGGTGCTGATCCTGTCGCAGATCGTCCTCATGCAGACTGTGTATTACGGCTCGCTGGGCCTGTGGCTGGCGCTAGTGGACGGGCTAGTGCGAAGCACCCCCTCGTTGGACCAGATGTTCGACGCGGAGGTAGGGTCCCCGGGCTGGTGCGGGTGGGGTCTCGGCCTCCCCGAACAGGCTTTGTGGTTCAGCATTACTGGGCTGTAGATCTGGCTAGGCCACCTTCTTGCTTTGTAGCCCTGGGAAAGGGATTTCACCTTTCTGAGTCGCAGCTGCCTCATCTATAGACTGGAATGACAACAGAGGCTGATTGGTACAAAGGAAAGGACCTGGATGTTAACACAATAGATAGAAATGCGTTCCAGGCAACTCTGATACATTTCCGTTCTGAGACTCTGGGAAAGTGACTTAACTTCTCTGAGCTAGGTTCTCAGGTGCCACACCGGAGAGGGGCGGATAAAAGCGCATTCATGCGGGTACAGTGGAAACTGCCTGGACTTTGGGGTCAGACAGGCCTCCTTTAAGTTCCACTTACTAGTTGTGTGACCTGGGGCAAATGTCACTTCTGTGGGCTTGTTTTTCTGTCTTCAAAACCATAAGACTGGTTACAGAATGGTAGATTGCAATATAAAGAGCATGTGCTTTAGATTCAGAAAAGCAAGGGTTCAGTCTAGCTAAACATATACTACTAGCTGTGGGACCTTGGACAAGTTGCTTCCCCTTTCTGAGCCTTTTCTGAAAAGTGGGCAGAGCACTCCTGCCATGTGCCATGTCGCCCTCAACAAAATGTTACAAGGCCCAGAGGGGTTTAGGACTAAGAGAGAAGGCCTGTAAGTTGTTGCATCTAAAAGGCAGTTGTGGGCTGGGTGGCTCACGCCTGTAACCCCAGCACTTTGGGAGGCCAAGGTGGACGGATCACGAGGTCAGGAGATTGAGACCATCCTGGCTAACATGGTGAAACCCTATCTCTACTAAAAATACAAAAATTAACCAGGCATGGCTGTGTGTTCCTGTAATCCCAGCTACTTGGAGGCTGAGGCAGGAGAATTAGTTGAACCCGGGAGGCAGAGGTTGCAGTGAGCTGAGATCGCACCACTGCACTCCAGCCTGGGCAACAGAGCGAGACTCTATCTCAAAAAAAAAAAAAGAAAAAATGCAGCTGTGGTGCATGCTGATGAGCACCATTCTTAGAGCCAGGAGACCTGGGATGGAGTCCTTGCTCCTGCTGCTTTTTCTCTATGTAGCCCTTGGGCAAGTTATTATCCAAAAAGAGGTAAGAATAAAAAGAAGAAGAATGACTTTGTGAGGTTTTTGTAGGCATAGTATGAGATTATGGATGTAAAAGACCTTTCTTTGTCAGCTGAAAGTGTGGTGCGGATGTTTGGCATTTGATAATGTGTTAGATAGTGGAGGTTGCACACCCACTGTGTGCCTAGTCGTGATCTCTGAGGAGCTGCCATCCTCCTGGGAAGAGCTGTGGGAATGCTGGGCTTTGTTGAAGAGCCATCTGATGCACACAACCTGAGTTCTAGACTAGGGATCAGCAAACCTTTCCTTAGAGGGTAAAGTAGTAAGGATTTTAGGTCACGGATTACTCAGCTCTGCCATTGTAGCATAGAAACTGCTATAGATAAATATGTAAGTGAATAGGTATGGCTGTGTTTCAATAAAACTTTATGTACAGGAGCAGATACCTGGCCTATGGAGCCATAGTCAGCTGAATGCTCTTCTAGACTTTACTCTTGGTGTTTTGGGCAACTTAACTTGTCTTAGCTTTTACGTCCACCTTTGTAAAATGAGAATAATAATCCTCTTCCACCTGCTGTGAGAAACAAATGAAATTCCATAATGGATGTCTATGAAAGCACCTAGTTGGAAATAGGCTGCCATACAGATGAAGGGAGGTATTATCTTCTGTGTTCTGGGAAGAATGCTGGTTTCTTAGGAGGTTTGCTAAGATCCTGGAGCCTGGGCTCTGCCAAGTCACTTCTCCAGCATATTTCCATTTGTGATTCCCCCTCAGATCCTGGGCTTTTCCACCCCTCCAGGCCGGCTCTCCATGATGTCCTTCGTCCTCAACGCCCTCACCTGGTGAGTATCACCAGTTTTGCTATCCAGCTTTTGGGTACTTAGCGCTGGGACTAACTTCCTAAGTTTGGACATGAGACAGGCTGGCACTTGTTTCTGGGGAGTTGTGAAGTAAAGTGGGTGACAGAGGCCAGTTCTGGGACTGGCTTTATCATGGGTCTTTTTCCATTGCTATTTTGACTTATCTGGAAAGCTCTTATGTCACTATGTTTGTGCTGCCTGCAAGACAACTTCCATCTCAGATTGCTTCCCCGATGTGGAGTGAGGTGAGGAAGGGATTCCACTGAGAGGCAGAAGAACTGGGTCCTGTTCTTGGTTTGTGTGCCATTGGCCAAGTTCCTTGCCATGGGCCTCAGGCTCCTCTTTTGTCCATGAGGGGTTGGACTGGGTGATGTCTAAGGTCACACGTAACCATTGCCTGTCTCTTGAGGCAGTTGAGCATAGTGATCAAGGTCTCAGATGCTGAGGCAGACTCATTTGCTTTGAACCTCAGCTTTACCACTAGTCTAGTGACTTTGGGTAAGTTAATCTACCACAGTTTCCTCATCAGTAAAATGGGGCTACTAATATTACCTGCCTCATAGTTGTAAGGATTAAATAAGTTAATTCATAAGAAGGACTTAGAACAATATCTTGCACATTATTATGATTCTTGTCCTTATACTGGAGATTGAAAACTGATGGGCTGACTTTGACCTAAATTTGTCTTCCAGATAGGTTTTGTTTGGCTTACATAGATGCCAGCCCACACATGGTGTTTAAAACATTTTTTTTCACTTAGTTGAAAATCAGGCTATTTTATATAAAAATCCAGATTTCTGGCTTCTCTTGACTAATGGAATGACTAATTGATTCTAGGCCAGCCTTCTAGCATGACAAGATTTGCCTAGATGCAAGTAGCTACTGCCCCCACTTTAGCGAGACATGTGTGCTTCAGGGTGTCACAATTCCCACCAATTCCTAGGATCCCCTAGTGACAATTGCCTTCAATCATCAAGCTTATGCTCAGTCAGCTTCACTCTCAACATTACCCGCCAGGTTCTTCTAGGCATCCGATATAACCCTTGCTTCACACTTATCTTGTCACTTCTGACCACTGTGCTGCCATCCTAATTGTCCCCACCCTCCCAAATAACCTAAGGCCAGGACAACCCAGTGACAACTCACTGCTGTCCTCTCCCCACAGTGCCCTGGGCTTGCTGCACTTCATCCGGCGAGGGAAGCAGTGTCTGGATTTCACTGTCACTGTCCATTTCTTTCACCTCCTGGGCTGCTGGTTCTACAGCTCCCGTTTCCCCTCGGCGCTGACCTGGTGGCTGGTCCAAGCCGTGTGCATTGCACTCATGGCTGTCATCGGGGAGTACCTGTGCATGCGGACGGAGCTCAAGGAGATCCCCCTCAACTCAGCCCCTAAATCCAATGTCTAGAATCGGGCCCTTTGGACATCCTGCGGGCACTTGGGCCGCTCAACACCTTGGGCTGCTCAGACCCTCCAGATGAGGTTCAGCCCAGATCTGAGAGGAACCCTGGAAATGTGAAGTCTCTGTTGGTGTTGGAGAGATAGTGAGGGCCTGTCAAAGAAGGCAGGTAGCAGTCAGTATGACAGCTGCAAGAATGGCCTCTGTCTGCTGAAGCCTTGGTATCTGAGAGGTCAGGAAGGGGACCTCTTTGAGGGTATTAACAGAATTGGAACCATGCCACTCTTGAGCCACAATACCTGTCACCAGCCTGTTGCTTTAAGAGAGAAAAGAAATCAAGGATATCTGATTGGAGCAAACCACTTCTTTAGTTATCTGTCTTACCTCCACGGGACAGCTGTTACCTTTGCAGTGCTGCCGAATCACAGCAGTTCTGTTTGGAGAAACACGTGGTTTCCGGATCCAGAGCCACAGAAAGAAATGTAGGTGTAAAGTATTAGGCTGCTGTCAGGGAGGGGATGACAGATGGAGGCATTAAGCACAAGGAAAATGCACAACCCGTGCCCTGTTATGCGCACGTGTGCATGTACCCAAGAACCTATGACTTTCTTCCAGTTCCTTCTACCAGGTCCCCATCCTGCTGCCAGCTCTCAACATAGCAGGCCATAGGACCCAGAGAAGAATCCCAGCATCGCTCAAAGTCTAACCTTCATCATAAAGACACTACCTGTCTTCTAGGAATGACCAGGCACCCAGCTCCCACTGGACTCCAGTTCTTTTCCCTGCCTTATTTAGAATTCTATGGCGGGAAGGGAATGATGGGTTCCCGGAGACAAGAAGCCCAACCTTCTGGCCTAGGCTGTGCTGATAGTGCTGAGGTAGATGGGAATTTGCTGCTAAGATTTTTCTTTGGGGTGGAATTTCCTCTGTGAGGGGCTTGCAGCTTTCGTTCCTGTGTATTTAAATACAGTATTTTCCACAGTTCTGCCTGTATTTGCTTTGTAATGCCACGGTTGAGATTGAGATATATCAGTGCAGTCAGGCAAGGGAACTTGAAAGAATGATTAGGAAACCTCCCTTACCTGGACCCCAGAGCCATTCCTCCATTCGGTTAAAATACTCAGTGCAGGGAACTCTTGCATCCTGTCTTCTCCACTTGCAGCCTCCCTTATTATGCCTCAAATGAACCACATGGTTCTTGGGTTCCCTTTCTCACTTGCTAGTGGTTTCTGAACATGTTCAATGGAGCGCACAATCTAGACCCACTTCCGCATTGAAACCTTCACTATTCCTCTTTGGGTTCTTTAGAACCTTCCCAAGGAAGCTGTCAGTTTTCAGCTCTCAGTGTTATGGTAGCACAGATGAGTTTTGCTGTCTCCCTGAGAAGCCCATCTGACCTCCTGGCTCTCAGCCCTACAGAGTAGGGAGTTGATGCCAACAGGATGAAGGTTTAGGGGTAAACATGCCTGGGAAGAGACTGGGAATGTTCTAGGGTGAGGCACCTCAGTAACTCATGGTGCCTTGTTGGAAGGAAGCAGTTTGTTAATGGAGCACAGTAATCCTGGCTGCAGGGTCTAGGAGGTAAGACCAGCTGGGATGACCTTCCCTGGATCGATCGATTTCCCTCCGGACACCACAAACTCTACAGGCACATGACTGACTTTGAAAGAACACACGTCATGTGGCTGCTGTCACCCTTGACCAGCTGTGGTGGTAGTTACTCCATCTGTGGTTGGAGCACCTCTTTGGGATTCACTTCAAGGTCTTGTGCCTATTTTTCTGCATATCTTCTGTGATGACAAATCTCTGTCCCTTGAGTGTTAATTTGAGTTTTAGAAAGGGCCAAAAGTCACACAATCCAAACTTTTTTTCAGCAATGTGGAGACTGAGTTGCATGATAGGTGGGGATCAAAAATATTTGACCTTAATGAGATTCTTATAATTTCTAAAGTAACAATAAGAGCAGTTTTTAGAGTTGAGCTCCAGAGAGGGCAGGGCAATGGCAGTGGCATGCTTGTCAGTTTATTAATAAATAACATATATTGAGTGCTTAGGAGGTGACCAGCAGTGTGGGCTGAGTGCTTTATGTCTCTTTTCTCAATCTTCACAAGAACCCTCTGAAGTAAGGAGTAACATCATCTATATCTTACAGATAAGGGAACTGTAAGGAACCTACCCAAGGTGACTTTTTAGGAGCTGGCAGAGGCAGGATTTGGGCTCTGGTAGTGATATTAATAAGCTTATTTTGGAGAGGTCAAGAGTTAGGGATGTATAAGTTCTGACTGGTTAAACAGTCTGGTTAAATAGTCTTTATCACCTTATAATCATATCTTCTTGTCCTGCCGTATTGTTTTAAATACCAAGGATGAACAGTAGATTATAAACATTACTAGCTTTCTAAGAAAAGCTGATATGCAGTACATTAAATATAGCCAGAGATTTCTTTTTCTTTTTTTTTTTTTTTGAGACAGGATCTCACTTTGTCACCCAGGCTGGAGTGCAGTGGTGTGATCTTGGCTTGCTGTAGCCTCAACCTCCAGGCTCAAGTGATCTTCCTGCCCCAGCACCCCCCAGTAGCTGGAACTATACACACATGTTACCATGCCTGGCTAATTTTTTTTTTTTTTTTTTTTTTTAGAGATAGGGCAGGCTTTGTCACTTTTCCCAGGCTGGTTTCGAACTCCTGGGCTCAAGCGATCCGCCTGCCTTGGTCTCCCGAAGTGCTGGGATAACACGTGTGAGCTATGAAGCCCAACTGGCCTTTTTTTTTTTTTTTTTTTTTTTTTTGAGACTGTGTTTCTCTCCAACTTCATCACCCAGACTGGAGTGCAGTGGCCGGATCTCGGCTCACTACAACCTCTGCCTCCTGGATTAAAGTAATTCTCATACTTCAGCCTCCCAAGTAGCTGGAATTACAGGCACGCAGCACCATTCTTGGCTAATTTTTGTATCTTGCATAGAGATGGGGTTTCATTATGTTAGCCAGGCTGCTCTCAAAGTCCTTGCCTCTCAAGTGATCCACCCACCTCAGCCTCCCAAAGTGCTGGGATTACAGACATGAGCCACTGTGCCTGGCGTTGGCCAGAGATTTTCAATTGATCTTAGGAATATGGGAAATCTATTTCCAAAGGATAAAGGATGGTACCTAGGTAAGAGAGCTACTTCTAGCCCTCTGCTGAGTTGGCATATCCCTTAACTATCCAGGTGTCTGCAGTTGACCTCCCTTTATCCCACCCACCACCTGAACTCGGACCATTCAGAGACAGAAGTGGAGACTCCTGCATAGCTGGTGCTCAGAATAGTTTATAACTCTGAAAGGAGGACAGGAAAGGAGAGAGATGTCTGGCTCAGAGGGTACTTCTAACCCCTCACTCTAGGCAGCCCTGTACATATGGGAGTGCCAAATGGGAGCCAAGATGGCAGCCAGCAGACATCAGGGGGTAGAATGGGAAGCTCCAGGACCCTCAACATCCTGGAGGGTACACAGCTCACACAGACTCCCCTGGACAGGAATCCCCTTGGACTCCTTCCTCAGCAACTCCCAGGTCCAAGTAGCTTCCTTCTGCCAGTCCTAGAGGGCAGGCAGTGCACAGGTGTGGAACACCTCCTTGTACTGGCAGCCCGGGGACCACACAGTCTCAGAAGCAGGGCCTCTGGGAACCTAGGGCAGGAGGAATAGGGATAGAATCAAGGTAGAGGAGTACTCCTCTGTGGAGAGATGAAAAACCACTGTCTTAAGGTTTTTTGTTGGAAAGTAATAAAGGGTGGTAGAAACAGCATTGAGGCAGGAGGAAATAGAGGGAGCTGAGGGTTTGAATCCCTGCTCTACCACTACCTGGGCAAGTCACAGTCATAGGGGTGCAATTCTGGAAGGCTTTAGAGAGCTGCAGTGGAGTGGAAAGTCCAGGAGTCCCATTACTAGCTGTAAGATCTTGGGTAAGCTCTGTAATCTCCCCTACCTAGGTTTCCTCATATGTAAAATGAAGGTCATATGATACATACCTCCCTGGATTTTTTTTTTTTTTTTTTCTGGTGGGGCAACACTTAATTCCATAAAATGAAAAAAGTGTTCCTTCCTTGGTTTTATTGTGAAGATGCAATGAAATGTCACATGTAAAGCACTAGCACAGCACCTGGCACGTAGGAAGTGATCCATAATTCTAGGCAATTATTAGGCTACCGCCCCCCTATCCATTTTACAGAAGAAGAGGCACCTTCCTTCTGAGCCTTGTGTTTTCAAATGTTAGTTGGGGGATAGGCTTGCCAGTCCTCTAGGTACCACTACCAAGTATTGAGTTCCTGTCTGCTAGGTACTGCAAAGTGATTTATGTGTCTTCTTACTTAGTCCTATAAGGTAAGCACCACTATTTCCCCCATTTTGCAGACAAAGAGACTGGGGGTAAACTTTTTCCCCACTACAGAGTTGACAAGAAGCTAGGCCTGTCTGCCTCAAAAGCCTCATCCTCTTTTCACCATCCAGTTATGTTTATGTGTGATCCAGACAATTGTGAGAGGGACACTCTTGGGGATCTAGATACTGTATTAGTAAAAGGTTGTGAATATAAACATACATTTGGCTTGTTATTAACAAGCAGCTAGTGCCTTCAAGGTGGGTAGTGAGGTAGCTGCTGATAAGTGAGAAATGGAGCCAGGACTAGCCACAGGGTTTCATTATAATGGCAAAGGCCCGGGTGGGTGGCGTGGGAAAAGGCCAAACATTTGTTCAGTGCCGCACAAACTGGCTTCTCCTACATCAAGCTTGATTTGCTTAAAACCCCCTGAACCAGACATCAGTATCACTATTTAATAAACATGAAATAGGCTCAGAGAGATCATGTGACTTCAGAAAAGTCACTCAATATAAAATCAGATTCAAACACTAATTTTTTCCCAGTTAACTGTTAGGCAGCCATATCTGGGGTGGCATCCTCCCCAAATCGGTGTTACTGGGCCCAGAAGAGGAGCCTTGGATTGAAGTCATTAAACAAAAGGGGAGTGGTAGTGGGGAGATCCCAGTTGTGAAATTGCAGGAGGTGAGTGGCCAAAGGCCTAAGTGCTTGGGCAGGTGATAGAGGTGGAAGGAGTGTACTGCTGGGACTCACTCACTCCCAGGCCTGCACCTTGCTGCCCTGGCCATGCCGGGTCCCTGCCTTCACACACAGCCCTCCCCTCTACTTGGTGGCATTCCCAGTGGGCAACTGGGGCCCAACTCCAGCTCTCTGGAGCAAAGTGGAAGTTGCCAGTCTCACCCAGGCCCACCCCAACGCAGCCTCCACTTGGGGCTCCCTGGGCAGACTCCCATGAAGGCTAGTGCAAGGGGGCTCCCCAGAAAGGGTCGGATTCTCTAGTTGGGAGGGCACTGTCTTGACTGCCTGCTGATAGCGCGCTCAGGACAGAAGTTCACGCAAAGGTTGATGGAATGGAAGAGTGAGTAGATTATTTTCCTTTCTTTTTCTTTTTTTTGAGACAGAGACTTGCTCTGTAGCCCGGGCTGGAGTGCAGTGCCACAATCTTGGCTCACTGCAGCCTCCGCCTCCTGAGTTCAAGGGATTCTCCTGCCTCAGCCGCCTGAGAAGCTGGGACTACAGGCCTAAACCACTATGCCCACCAGGCTAATTTTTGTATTTTTGGTAGAGATGGGGTTTCATCATGTTGACCAGGATGGTCTCAATCTCCTGACCTCGTGATCCACCTAAAGTGCTGAGATTACAGGCATGAGCCACCATGCCTGGCCGTAGATATTATTTTCAAAAGTTGATGGAATTGAAGAAACCCAGCAAGGGAACCGCAGTGGATACTGTTCAGGAAATGCGCTGGAGTGCAAGAGGGGTGGGAAGACCGCTGGAAGTGGAGGTTATTGGGGTGGATGCTGCGTGGGAAGTGGGGGGATGGTGGGGGCGGAGCTAGGCAACGTAGGTGAGCTCCAGGAAGATTGCGCTGGAAAGGGGACCTCGGGAGCGGGCTGCAGGGGTACCCAGCCTTCTTGAGAGGAACCACTATGCGGTGCTAAGCAGTCCCCACGCCGTGGCTCCGTCCAGGCTGGTCCCAGCGGCTTCTGATGCCCAGTCTTGGTGCCCAGTGGAGGGGTGGGGAGGAGCGTGCAAGTGGGCGGGGTAGGGGCGGAGTCCATCCAATCGTTCTCCCTCTCTCCCAAACTGAAGCTCTATCTTCATCGCTGCTCTGACCCCCAACCCTGGAGAGCTCTGCTCCCCTCAGTGGCTCCACTGCTCTCCCGAGGGCGCCCACCCCACTTAGCCTGCTTCCGGGGAATATGGAGGTCTTGGTCCCAAGAAAACTCGGCTCCCTCGGGCTTTCCTCTCCCCACGACGTGGTTAGGGTCCTGACAGAGGATGACCCCGGCCAGATGGAGTCAACCAGGGCTTGAGGTTGAAGCTTTGGATTGAGGGTGGGCCTGCCATGTCACACTGGAGCAGCAGGGATGCAGTACCATCTCCCCCGCCTGACCCAGTGCCTTCTGTGATCTGTGACCAAGGCAGGACACATTTGGAGGTGCAGCTGACGTCCACTTTGACATCCACTTTTTGACACTAGCTGCAATGCAATCAGTTTTTGACCGTCAGTTTTTGACAATCAGGTCGCAGTGCATGCGCATGACCCACAGGGTGCTGGGGCTACTCCACCTGCTTCGCGGCTTCTGAGCAGGCTCGCATTTCGCCTTTTCCCTTTCTTGGGACAATGGAATGGGGAGCAACCAGGAGACCTAGTTTAGAGCCCTTGCTCTTGCCGCTTTCTAGCTGAATGAATCTGGACAAGTTACTTTCTGCCCCACCACCGCGGTTTCCTCTTGTGGGCTCACGGGGCGATTGTGAGGCACCTCATACCCAGGAAGCACAGGAGCTGACTTCATAGAGCGCGCCACTCAGGAGACCAGCTCGCGGAGGTGGGGGAGGGGTGCAGCTCCTTGCTTCTTTGGGTCTAGACTGAGTTTAGGTGCCTCGGGGTAAGGGTGGGGGAAGCCCGAAGCCGTGACACAGGCTCTCTTCCACCTCTACCGAAGGCCTGTTTCCTTCATCCTTCCCAGCCCCAGACAAGCAGGCAGAGTAAGCAGTATTAGTCTTAGGTGCCATATGGAAGATTTTATTTGTAGACTCGTGAATTTCCCCACTCATCCTTCCCCTTCAGCTGATTGTGCGATCTCCACCCTCTATTCGCACCTCTGGCTCCCATCCAGGTCATATCACCTGCCAGCAGAGACCTCGATGTTAGGCGCTAAGGCTGTCCCCAGGGGGCGCTGGTTGTTTGGGGAGCGGCCGCAGGGACAAGGGTTCTGTGGAAGTGGGTTGGAAATGGCTTTGCTAAAAAGGGAAAGCCTTCCTTTAAACTAGATGCAGTGGGCACTCACCCCTTTCCTTTCATGGGATTTTAATTCTCCCACGAAAGGGCTGGAGTATTTCTTCTTGTTTTGCTAAGGAACTTTCTGGTCAAAGTAAGTCTCTCTTTTTTTTAGACAGGGCCTCGCTCTGTTGCCCAGGGTAGAGTGCAGTGGCAGAGTCACAGCTCACTGCAGCCTCGACCTCCTGGGCTCAAGCGATCCTCTGACCTCAGCCTCCCAAGTAGCTGACACTACAAGTGCAAGCCACCACATCGGGCTAATTTTTAAATTTTTTTGTAGAGACTGTGTCTCAGTAGTTGCCCAGGCTGGTCTTGAACTGCTGGCCTCAAGCAGTCTTCCTGCCTTGACCTCCCAAGGTGCTGGGATTACAGGCATGAGCCACCATGCTTAGCATGTTCACAGTAAATCTTATTTGAGGCATGAATAAATCAAACATAAATGGAGAGTTGAATTGGTCGAAGAGGGAATGGGATGCAGCAAAGCCCTATTTGACCACCTCCCTCCTCCCACATTTGGAAATCCTTAAACCAGCTTACTTAGGCCTCTGACTGTGAGATTCAGAGCCACAGCGGTTTCCACCCCTGCTAAGGCCTTCAGGCAATGAGATGGTTCACTTTAGTACCCACAAATCCAGTGCCACTCCTTCCCCAGATCCCCTAGCTGTATCCTGGGAGGCCTCAGCCTAGCCACTAGCCTGCTACATGATGTTGGTCTAAGGCTTCGCCCTCTGGACATGAAGGTGCAGCCTCCCAGCACTGCCAGCCACACACCACTCAAGACTTCAGATCCTGAGCCTTGACTGTGGGGCCCAGCTCTGGGCCTGGCTTGGGGCTTGCATCTCACCTGGCCTGGCAGTGGTGTTGTGACACCCACCTTGTATGGACGCCACATAGGCATTTCAAGTGATGCGGAGCAGAAGCGGGTGCAGCGGCGCTTGACCCAACGCAGGGTGGAGGGTCTGCACATCACCCGGGGTGCCGGGAGGTGGATTCGTGTGGGCAGCCCCTCAAACCAGATCCACTGGTCGGCCACATCCAGCTGCTTCCTATCCCCCATGGGAGTTCTGTGGTGCTGGGGCTTAATGACGATGACTCGGAGGCCCTCAGTGAGTGGTTGCCTCCCCTGGGCTTCAGGGTTCAAGCCTTGGCCCCTCGGTGTCCCTGGAACCTCAGGCTCTACCTGCTTTTCTTTCCATGGCATTGCTGCCAATGACGTTTTTGCCTTGTTCCTCATCCCTGACTGCACCTGGGGCTTCCACTCCTTGTACTCTTTCTTCTTAGAGTCCCCTGTGGACTCTAATCTCTTGGACCTGAGCTCCTTCTTGGAACTCTCGATCTCCTGGAACTCTTCATTATTTTGTTTCGCTTTATTGCAGGCACTGTTTTCCCTGGCAGGGAGAGGAAAGGTAGTCAGCAGAGCAGGACTGAGGCCCTAGTCCTGGCCCCTAGCCTTGCCCCGAGACAGTTGCTATGTAGCCAGCTCAGGGGAGCCTGTTAAAAAAGCTAGAGGGGCTGCCAAGAAACTTCCCTACTGCCCAGAGGCCTTGTGCTGGTGTGAGGGGATGTGATAAGCATTGGCAGAAGGGATGTGAGAGTCTGGGAAGGTGAAGCCATGGCTAGGAGTTAAGGCCCCTAGGAATGGATATTGTCTATATCATCTGCCACTAGATTAGGGTTCTGTCTCTCTGGACTTCAGCTGGGAGGGTGAACAGTTCAGTAGTTTTCCTAAATTGTGCTCCAAGAAGCCTTAGCGTTCTGAGGAGGTGTCTCAATGTCAACCTGAGACCCACTGGGGGCAAGATGAGGGCAGGATACCTCCCCCCTGCCCAGAGCAACACAACTGGGGCTTGGGGACAGATATTTGAACAGGTTTTACTGCTTTAATAAAGTTGGAAAACTGTTCAAGACCAGGCTGGGTGACATGGTGAGACGCTGTCTCCATACAAAAAAAATTTTTTAATTTGGAAAATGATGGGGCTGATCCTTCTAGCTCTGTGTTTCCTGATTGTCCGCAGCTAGAAGCCAAATCAGAAAGAGGAGACCAGAGAGGTGGCCTTGGCAGAAATATTAAATGCTGAGTCTTTCCTAAAGAGTGCCTGTAACAGACTGGGCCCCCTGCAAACCCTCCAGTGGCAACACCATCCTAGCCCACGGTGTGGAGAGACGTGAGGCCTTGGGCTGCAGATAATGGCAATACTGTGATGACAGTAATGGCTTCTGCTGATTGAGCGCCTGCTCTATGCCAGACTCAGGATCCTTACAAAAGTTCTGTGAGGTAGGAGGCAGTGCAGCAGAATGGCTTACAGAGCACAGATTCTGCTTCTGCCCTTACTCCTATGTGATTTGGGCAAGATGTTTACCCTCTCAGAGCCTTTGCTTCCTCATCTGTAAAACTAGGATAATTCTGTCCACCTAACAGGATTGCTGTGAAGAATAAACTAAATGGGAAACTTCTTAAGTGCTTAGCACGGTAGATGGCATTTAGCAGGCACTAATCAATGTTAGCTTTCTTAATATCCTCATGTGACTTATGAGGAAATAGTTTGAACCTGTCTTGGAGGCATGGTAAAAAAATAAAAAGAAATTCATAAAGAAACTGAGCCTCACCAAGACTAATTAATCCTCAGATTTCAGGGGTCAGTCTGCAGGTGACTTTCTGGGTTATGTTGACTTGCAAGGGGAGGAGGAGGAGTGACCTGTCTCAGTGCCCCAGGGTGAAGTGAGGGCCACAATTGGATGACTACAGCCATTATTATGGCCACAGCTCTGACATCAGACAGGAATGGCTTCAAATCCTAGCTCTGCTGCCTATCAGTTGAGTTAACTGAGTGAGGCAAATCATTTCATCTCTCGAACCTCAGCTCTCCAGCAGTAAAATAGAGTTAATAAATACCTCTCTCACAGAGCCGTTGTGAAAATGAGACTGAATTCCTTAGCACAATGCCTATTCCCAGTAAGACGGTATTTGGGTCCATTGTGGGGGCCACGGGTGGCCCATGCTTACCCAGAGGAGATGCGGAGGATCTTTGGAACACTGAGCAGTGAATTCCAACATCTTTTGGCCAGGTTATGCAGTTGTTGAATCCGGCGGTTCGAGCTCTTGAGTAGCTTCAAAAGTGACAAGTTTTTTAACACCTGGCAGGGTCAAGAAACCAGGTAAATAGAAGCTTCAGCTCTCCTGGACAGCCTCCCTCTCTCCTGCCTGCCTCTGGCTCCGCTCAGCCAAGGGCTGGCCTGCTGGCTCCTGTGGGCTGAGTGGCCACTCAGCCTGGCAACCAGGGTAGCACTGCATGAGTATATGAGCTCCCCCAAGCTGGGGCCAAAACGGGGCATCTCACCATTCTCAGACGGTTCCTCTCAATTACTTTGCTCACAGACTGCTCTGTCTTGTCCTGTGGTTTCTCATCTTGCATCTGAGGGACAGAGGGTAAGAGAGAGACATAACCCCAGAAGAATCAGCAAGGCATGGTGCCTCATGCCTGTAATCTCAGCACTTTGGGAGGCTGAGGTGGGTAGATTGTTTGAGGTCAGGAGTTCGAGACCAGCCTGGCCAACATGGTGAAACCTCAGCGCTATTTAAAAAAATACAAAAATTAGCCAGGTGTGGTGGCATATGCCTGTAGTCCCAGCTACTCAGGAGGATAAGGCAGGAGAATCGTTAGAACCCAGGAGATGAAGGCTGTAGTCAGCTAAGATCTTGCCACTGCACTCCAGCCTGGATGTCAGAGTGAGACACTAGAGGAATCCTCCTGAAATCCTCCGTATGCCTCTCCATTTGACTGAGCAGGGTTCAACCAATCCTAGGCTGGGAGTTTTGTCATCTTGGTCTGGGGACAGAACTGGGAGACCATTTTCTTCCCTTCACCCTTCACCCTTCACCTTTCCCTTTTCTCCCATGCTGGAAAGCCCCTGTCCTTGGCATGGTGGACTCTTTGTGAAGGTCCCCTCTAAGGACTCACCCCCCTCCCCAGGGTCTAGTCCCAAGTCTGACCTTGGAAACCCTGCTACTCTTGAGCCTCTTCTTTGCTGATGGACTCATGCTGGGGCTCTGAGACCTCAGAGACGAATGGAGCAAGACCACTGCCAGGCACCTACCCTGCTCCTCTCAGTTCAGCCAGCACTCAGGCTGGGCATCAAATGGTGGTGCTGTCTCTGTACCACCTGTAGCTGTGACATCACTGAAATGTGACAGCAGCAGGGCTGGGTCTCCAAGGAGTGTACATAGCAGAGGTGAGGGGTAGAGGGTGAGAAACAAATACAGACAGTAGGTGACAGACAACTGTGTACATTGTCACAACTTCCCTGTGAGGTAAGAGGATTATCTCCTCTTTTTAAATGAGGAAGCCAAGGTTCAAAGAGGTTGAATAATTTACTCAAGGCCCCACTAGCTCTAGCCCAGCTAGATCATAGTGGGCTGGAAACCTAACCAAGGTCTAATAGTGAACCCATGGAACCAGTGATTCCCAAACCATGCTCATCCATTCAGTCATGTTGCCTGTTTTGACTGGCTGCCTGCTATATGCCAGGTGCTTTTTCTAAGTGCTAGAATAACAGGAAATTCTTGCCCCGAAGCTTACATTCTACTGGAGGAGAAACAGTGTGTGTACTTGTAAATGTTTAATAGTGGGCTTTCTAAAGCAAAATGTATGTATGTGTATTATAAATTTTACTGATAGAAATAAATAATAAAATTCTATGATATTCTTTTTTTTGTAACTTCCATTAGTGAGTTGCTTCTTACAGTATGCTTTTCTTGGATTTTGCCTAACCCTTCTATTTATAGCCAACCTATGGTTGTGATGGATGAAGAAGTATAATACCAACATTAATGCTGGTATTTTCATTTACACTAAACAGTAAGAAGGTGGAAAAGTGAAACAACAGAGATACTGAAATCTAACTCATTTATCAATGACGTGATTGACCTATTTGCTGAATTGGACCATAGTTTTTGAATACTGGAAGTATATTTCTCAGATTCTTTTTGTTATTTACAATCAAACAACTATGGACAGGACAGTTGCTTATGTTTTCTCTTTTATGTTGTTTTTGGAAGGTCTTTTTTCAGATCTATATATGATTTATATGTGATATATTTCTACTGTACGGATAGGCAGATAGAAAGAATCCTAAGAACACAGATAATAGTAAAAGGTAGTAAAAAAAAAAATAGAAAATGACAAGTTTAAACATTTTTCACCTTTGTTTTTCATATCATTTATTTAATTTGAAGTTGATAGAAATTAAATTTTAATGATAGTCATGCTTAACAAGCAGCCTGCAGAATTCCTAGAAGTGTAACAGTAGACTTTTGTGAGCCCTTGTGAGTCAGCTCCAGTATGCCAGTCCTACGTCAGATGGAAATAAGTGCCTGGAGAACAGTAAACAGGGTCAAGGGCATAGGGAGGGCAGGGGTAGAGAGTTTGGTAGATTAAAAAGGTGGTCTAGGAAAGATTCATCAACAGGATGAGATTTGAGCAGACACCTGAGAAAGAAGGGAGAGAGGAGAATGAATGGTGGTGGGAGAAGATGAGGCAGAGAGGGAGTCGTGGTGGGTGAGGCAGATCACAGCAGGCTTTGACGGGCGCTGGCTGCCCTGAATCTCTGGTGCCCAGCTGGCTGCATCAGAAGGGTATGAAGAGCTTGTGAAAAACATCTTTGTGGGCACCACCCCATTCAGCAGGCCAGTCAGATACCCAATCAAGTGTGGGACCCACTCCACACCATTCCACTTCTAGCAGTGAGAGATGTGCATTCACAGAGTGTGCTTAGCTCTGAATAGAGGGGTGAGGAGCCAACCCTAGGCTGTGGGACAGCTTCTCACATATAAAAATCCTTTCCTGTCAGATCCTTTCTTATTAGAGTGAAGGTTAGGTAGGGGGTTAAACTGCTGCTGTGGCCTAGAAGAAAGCAATGTGGTGATTTGGCAAGGAAGAGACAGAGGGTACTCCCTCTCTCCCTCCTGTCTACCCCGATACTCCTTGGCTGCTCTTCCTGCTCAGACATCCCTCTCCTTGCACACACTTTCAGCTCTGATCAACTGGACTTCACTGAACAATGGCTGCTCTGAGACCCTGGCACCTGGCAGCCTGCATCAGAATCACCTATACCTGCCACTCAGCCCCCAAGCTCTGAGGGCTGGGGAATCACTGGGTGCTAGGCACTGAGGGACAGCAACATTATAGACAGAGCATGCCTCTAGGTTTACAGGCCAAGGGGAGAGGTACTTCTAGAATGTAGACTCCTCAAGGCCAGGGATTTGTATCTGTTTTATTTATTGATAAGCCCCCACATCCTGGAACAGTGCCTGGTGGATAACAGGTGCCCAGAAAGGTTTTTTGGTTTTTTTTGTTGTTGTTGTTGTTTGTTTGTTTTTTGAGAGGGAATTTCGCTCTTGTTGCTCTGGCTGGAGTGCAATGACGCAATCAGGAGTTTGAGATCAGCCTGGCCAACATGGTGAAACCCTGTCTCTACTAAAAGTACCAAAATTGGCCAGGCATGGTGGCGGGCGCCTAAAATCCCAGCTACTTGGGAGGCTGAGGCAGGAGAATCACTTGAATCCAGAGGGTCAGGGTTCCAGTGAGCTGAGATTACACCACTTCATTCCAGCCTGGGTGAAAGAGCGAAACTCTGTCTCAAAAAAAAAAAAAAAAATTTCCTTCTCTTTTAAGGCTGAATAATATTCCATTGATTCCATTGTATGCATAGGCATTTTCTTTGTCTGTTCATTTCTCAATGGACATTTGAGTTCTTTCCACCTGTTAGCTATTGTGAATAATGCTGCTGTGAATAAGGATATACAAATATCTCTTCAAGGCCTTGCTTTCAACTTTTGGGTATATACCTAGAAGTGGAACTGTGGAACCGCTGAATCATATGGCAATTCTCTTTTTAGTATTCTGAGAAACCATCATATTGTTTTTCGAAGTGGCTATATCATTTCACATCCCCACCAACCATGTACAAGGATTCCAGTTTCTCTATGTCCCTGCCAACACTTGATATTTTCTGTTTCTTTGATAGTCACCACCTTAATGAGTGGAAGATTCCACTTTTTTGTTTTGTTTCCTCTCACAGTGCTTTAATTTCTTTAGTCAGGTTTACTGGGGTATATTTTACATATAGTAAAATTTACCTTTTTCAGTATACAGTTCTTTAAGTTTTGACAAATGCATACTAGTGTAGAACACCACAATCAATGTATGGAACAGCTTTATAACCCACCTAAGTTCCCTCAAGCCACTTCTTTGTGGTTAACTCTTCCCACTCCCAGCCCTGGCAGCAAACTGATGTGTGTTTTCAGTCTCTATAGCTTTGCCTTTTCCAAAACACCATATAGGTGGAATCATATAGTATGCAGCCCTTTGAATCTGGATTTCTTTCACTTGAGATTTGCACATGTTGGGTGTGTCAATAATTTGTTTTTTTTTTCATTGTTGAGTAGTATTTCATTCTATAAATATGCCACAGCTTGTATATACAATCAATAAAGGACATTGGGACTAGTTTCGGGTTTTCAGTGATTATGAATAAAGTTACTAAATACACGTGTATACAGGTTTTTGTGGAAATACAAGTTTTTATTTCACTTGGATATGTACTTAGGAGTGAGATTACTGGATCATATGGTAATTATATGTTTAACTTTAGAAGATACTGCCAGAGGTATCCAAAGTGGCTGTACCATTTCATATTCCCACCTACAATATATTCAAGGTCTAGTTGACTCACATTCTTGACAGTATTTGGTATTATTAGATTTTTGTTTTGTTTTGTTCTTAGCTGCTCTAGTGGGTATGTCATCATATCTTATGGTAGTGTTAGTTTGCATTTCCCTAATGACTAATAATGTTGAACGTATTTTCATGTATTTATTTTCCATCTGTGTTTTTTTGATAAAGTTTTTGTTCAAGTCTTTTGCCCATTTTAAGTTGTTTCTTCTAATTATAATTGCATTGAGAGTTTGTTTGTTTGTTTTACTAATTCTGGATCTCTTTATTATATATATGATTTGCAAGTATTTTCCACTAGCCTGTGGTTTATCTTTTCATTTTCTTAACTGTCTCTTGAAGAACAGATTCTTAATTTTGATGAAGTCCAATCTATCAACTTTTAAAGTGGGCTATGCTTTTGGTGTCATATCTAAGAAATATTTGCCTAGCCTGAAGTCACAGAGGCTTACTCCTATATTTTATTTTATATGTTTTATGGTTGTAGGTTTTTAAATTTAGTTATTTGACCTTTTTTAAGTGAACTTTTGTATATAGTCTAAGGTATGGATTAAGGTTCTTCTTTTGCTTATACCTATCCTATTACTCCAACAGGATTTTGTTTTGTTTTGAGACAGAGTCTTTGTTGCCGAGGCTGGAGTGTTATGCTCTCAGCCCACTGCAACCTCTACCTCCTGGGTTTAAGCGATGCTCCTGTATCAGACTCCCAAGTAGCTGGGATTACAGATGTGGGCCAAGACAGCTGGCTACTTTTTGTATTTTTAGTAGAGATAGGGTTTTACCATGTTGACCAAGCTGGTCTTGAACTCCTGCCCTCAAGTGATCGATCACCTGCCTCAGCCTCCCAAAGTGCTGGGATTGCAGGTATGAGCCACCACTCCCAGCCCTAATGTGATTTTTTGAAAAGACTACCTCTCTCCATTGAATTTTAAAATCAACTTGCTGATTTCTATATAAAATCCTACTAGGATTTCGATTCCCCTTTGGATTCATCATTCTGAGTCATTCCTTCCTTTTTCTGTGCATTTGCAGTTAAGTTGTTTTCTCAGTCTGCTTCCTGCCAGTAGAATTTTGGGGTTCAAAGGCCTCTTTTCACTTTTTTAAATTGTTTTTTTCTCTCTTTTTTCTTTTGTTCCTATATAAATACCAAATTATAAAAGTCTCTTT